AATATCAACATAATAATACCAAACAGAAATAATAACAAACAAGATATTAAATCCTAACAAGATATTAAATCATAACAAATATTAAATCCTAACAAATCCACATTTAATCCATGAGTGACACCGGACTCAAACCTTTGGTGTTCACTATAATTGAATTTTTAATGGATTTCCAACATAGTCGTCCAACATAAGGCAGAAATTAAAATGTTAAAATAAGATTAGCCAATTAAGTCTTTCATAGTTAATTTACTATTTTCTTGTATTAAATACATGTTAATTTATCTCAAATTAAGCTTTGAAAGCCTAATTAACCAATTTGGTACTTAGCATATTCATTCATCATACAATCAATTCATATATTACCACAATCTTTCACAAACTAACCATCCTATTTAAACCAATTCGACCAATATACACCAATTCCTCGTACTACACACATCAATCTATTCAATTCCAATACCGTGCGTAAAATATTTACTAGCTTTCCTTACCTAGGATAGTTTTTCTTTTTTTCTTTTACAGTTTTTATTCTATTATTCAAATTTATTGATTTTTTTAGTTTCATTTTCCTATCGATGCACTGATAGCTTTTAGTATTAGACATAGGTTATTTCTGATAAGGGTTGAAGGATACTTTTCCAAGTCTTTCCCAAAATTCTGACTACTTTCTGCTATTTTAGATTTTACATTTTCAATTTTTAAAATTTTAGTTGAGCAGATATTGAAAAAAATTACTTTATCTACTTTATGTACTATTATCAAGAACTGAATATGTATAACATGCCTAACAAAATAAGATGAAAAGAAATTTGAAACTATTCGACATGAAATACAAATATGAATTTAAATTTTATACATATCATTAATTAATATAAATATTTTTCCATTATCAATTTATTTTAAAATAATTTCAAATATGTTTTTAAAATTATTTTCTACTATAATCAACAACTCGACATACAGAGCAATGAATAATAGGTGCTTACTATTTTGTTTATACAAGAGGTATGAAATATCAATTTTAGACTTTTATTGCATTGGAATAATTTTCGATGTATTTTTTTGTTTTGTTCCTACAAAGTCGTATAAGGGACCATGCCACTTTATACAATTCCACAATCAGTGTTTAACTTAAACATGATAGTTGAATATTCTCTGTTTCTTTTTCCTGAAACTTCATAACAAGTTCTGCATTTATCGTTATACGGAATGCAATTACTGAAGTTCTTTTCTAAGTCTTTCGTCTTTGTTTCTCTTCTCTAACATATGGAAGATAATTCAACATATATTTTACAACAAATTTGAACAAAAATTAAATATTTATTTGTAAATTTACAAGTCAAAGTATGGTTATTTGTTTGGTGAGTTATGGATGCATGAAGTGTTATATATATATATGGTTATAGACAGAGCTAAACTCACAGTATCAATCTATTTCCAATACCGAGTGTGTTTGATCCATTACCTTTCCTTTGTGATGATGAGGAACCGAGTTGGTCTTAAATTAATGATGTTTATGGTGTGTTTGGTGACGGAGCTTGTTTATTGTGAAAAGGAAGTAAGATGCATAGAGAGAGAGAGGGAAGCACTCCTCCGACTCAAGGCTGCCATTGTAGATCGCTATGGCATGCTCTCTTCTTGGACCACTCCTCACTGTTGCCAATGGCAGGGAATTCGCTGCTCCAACCTCACTGGACATATTCAAATGCTCGATCTGCACGGAGAATTTCATGACGAAATTTCTTCCAATTTTTACATTGAATTTTCGTCAAAACGTTTTATCAGCGGAGAGATCCACAAGTCGTTGATGGAGTTGTCACAATTACAGTATTTGAACCTCAGTTCTAATTCTTTCTTAGACAGCAATATTCCAGAGTTTCTTGGCTCTCTTAGCAACTTGAGATACCTCGATCTTTCATCGTGTGATTTTGACGGAAAAATTCCAACCCAATTTGGGTCTCTTTCTCATTTGAAATACTTAAATCTCGCTGGTAATTTTTTGGAGGGTCCAATCCCTCGTCAACTCGGAACTCTCTGTCACTTACAATATCTTGATCTCCGCGGCAATGATTTGGAAGGGAATATACCAATTCAACTCGGAAATCTCTCTCACTTACAATATCTTGGTCTCCGCGGCAATGATTTGGAAGGGAATATACCAAGTCAACTTGGAAACCTGTCAAACTTACAAGAGCTTTATATTGGAGGTGGCGCTCTCAAAATTGGTAATGGAGGTCAGTGGTTATCTAATCTCATTTCTTTAACCCATCTTTACTTATCATCCATATCAAATCTTTATCATTCTCCGCAAATGATTGGTAAGCTACCAAAATTAAGGGAACTAAGTTTATTCGATTGTAGCCTTACTGATAATTTTTTCCTCTCTTTGAGGCCATCTATATTCAATTTTTCTACTTCCCTCACGGTCCTTGATCTATCCGAGAACACCCTCATGTCAACAATGATATTCCAATGGGTGGCAAACTTCACTCCCAACCTTGTTGAGCTTCAGCTTGTTAGTAATCTCTTGGAGGGTTCTGTACCAAATCACTTTGGTTTGGCAATGAATTCACTTGAGCACCTTAACCTCCACTCTAACAGATTCAAGGTTGAGGTTTTGCAATCTTTCATGAATATATGCACCTTAAAATCTTTAAGCATGGGTGGAAACACTTTGAACCAAAGTCTTTCATCAATTCTTCATAATTTGTCTAATGCTTGTGCGAGAAATTCATTACAAGAATTGGATCTGAGATTTAGCCAAATTCACGGTTCTTTACCGGATTTCTCCATGTTCACAACTTTGAAAAGATTACAACTTGCTGGTAATCAATTATCTGGGAAGATACCTGAAGCCATATTACCATCTCGATTGGAGACACTGTCACTCCTATTCAACTTTTTAGAAGGTGAAATTCCAAAATCATTTGGAAATACATGCACTTTACGCTCATTGGACTTGTCTAATAATAGATTGAG